AGAGGTAACGAATAGTGTATAAAAGGTAGGAGAGAAGGTGAAAGAGTAAGAAAGAGAAGATAAAAAGTATAAAAAGTAAGGGTAATTAGATATTTTTAAAGGAAAAAACCTACCAAAAAAAGAAAGTGTAGCAAACTTTAAAATACGAAGGGAGTATGAAGTATCTGTTATTGTTTGTGCCAACATTCTAGAATGCGTTTTGAATCTCTGAACTCCGCTTTGGGGCTATTACATTGATATCATCGAACCGGAAGATGTTTGACAGAAAAGTGAAAAGTTATCTCTACAATTTGATGGAGTTTATTTTAATATTATCTCTGCCTCACTCAAATTTGCTAACTTCGTATTGGATGTAGAATTAGAAAAGAAAAAATTATTACGTACTCCGTATGTGATTAAAGTTTGTGTATAGGAGAGAGAAATAGACAGAACCACAAATTTATTACTTTAAAAGAAAAGTACCAAAGTTTTTGGAACAAAAAACTGAAAGTCTAGTGCAGAATATTTTTTTAAAAGGAGAGTTTATTTTAATATATAAAACCCATATTCAACTTATATACTCCGTAGTTATATACAGCCAAATTAGCATATAAATGAATTTTAACGGGAAGACCTTGCGAAACAATTCTAAAAAGTTCGTTAGCATATTACCGTTGAAATCGGGAACGATTCGAATTTTGAAAATATTTTGGGCACAAGAATGATTGTGGATTTGCCGCCCCCTATTACCATTTCTCGTCCGCTTCAAACCTGCTTATATATCTCGTATCCTTTGCTCAAACTTCGGATTGGGGTTTTGCTTATAATTTCGAGAGCACCATTGTACTTCTGCGACATATAAGTTGAACTAAGCAAATTCTCTGTCATTTTGATCCAGTAGTCTGGTCATCGCTGTGAAATGGGTCAGATCCAGTATTCGGATAAGTACAATGACGATACTTACGAGTACAGGTATTTCACATTCTCGTCTGATAGGATTTGTTTACTATCAGGTGCCTCTTTGTATCTGATGTTTGTCAATTTCGTTGAGGTTCAGGCATGTTGTTCTCCCACCTGAAGTGGCGAAATTGCTTCCTAAGAATAGGCTTCTTTCTGAGGTAAGTTTCTTCCTCGGGTTTCTATGACTATGAAAATTTGGTACTTCTGTTTTAATTTGATTTTTCGTTAAAAATGGAATCATGTTTTGGAGATTTGATAAATGTTTGTATGCTGCTATGCTTTATTAGTGATTGGTCTCATTTCAGAAAGTACTTTATTCAGTTTTGCTCGATGGTTTGTGGAAGCATATTAGGGCATTGCAGTAGTTTGTACTTGGTTTTGAAAATGTGAAGCTATGAATAGTTTAGCGTCTCAGACCCAGGAAAAAGTTTGTTTAGGGAATGCAAATTAGATACTATATCCATTTTGCATAGATTCTTATTTTTTATACAAAATTTGGTTTTTTTGAACAAGAGATAATTCTCTAAATAAGAGTAAAACATGGACAAAATGGAAAAATAGTACTTAGTACGATTAGGAGTATTAAAGGAAAATTTTAATGTTTACTCCTATTTAGGGAAGATCGAGACCAAAACCTATTTAGGGAAAGAGTATGTTTTACTCCTATTAATGGAAATTACACTTTGAAAAATGTTCTTATTCGGACACATAAGGCATTTGAACAATGTTCTCTTAAAATGAGACAATCACTCAAATTCTAATAATCAACTTACATAAGCATTTGTCGTCGTCGTCATCGTTACCCCAATAGCAAAGGCTCCCACCTACTGTGGGGTAATGGGTGTAGGTCGGTGTACATAGTCTTACTCATGTACTAAAGCATATAAAGATTGTTTTCAGATGACCCATAGTGAAAATCAAATCGAAAAATAAGCATTTGTAATCACTCTTGTCATTGCAGTTGTAGATTAACTAGAATATATACATAATACATGTTTTGTTTTCACTGGGCCTTATTGACTGGTTTACTGGCCTTTTTGTTGGGAACAAAGTCAAATGCTTTCCAGTTTCGACAACCTGAATTAGCCAATTTCCATTTTATTACCTTCATTTTACCAACACTTCTGTAAAATTCAACCCAAGCCAATATGTGCAGTGGTTTTTTAATAAGGCTGTCTTTATTTATATGGAGTAAAAAGTTATATGTTGTGGTTTGATGAACAGAATGAATGGAGGGCAATGGGAGTTCAGCAGAGCCGAGGATGGGTACACTACGCGATTCACCGACCCGAGCCACACATCATGCTTTTTAGGAGACCTCTGAATTATCAGCAACAGCCAGCAGCATGAAAACCTACCTGGCTTAGCATTACATTCTTCCCGAGAGGAAAAAATCTCAAGCATTACATTTCATTTACAAATTTAAAAATGTATCCTAATGTTACTCCAAACCTTTGTTAAACATAAGAGTCGTTATTAGCTTGCTGTTTGAGAGTCTACTCTAGAAGTTGGTCATGGTTCTTTTAATGCTACTTGTGGACTGTACTGACTTCACTTTTGTGGGCATAAAAGGCTCGAGCCACGTTTCTTGCTTTGTTTTGGTGTGATGATAATCTTTCTGCTTCAAAGCTACAATACGAAAGACTTCACAATTCTGTAAAATCTTTTTTAATAGTTCATTATGAGAAGCAAAAATAGGGCTTCAGAGTGGGTTTTGAGGGATGATGAGGTGTAATTGTGGCAGCATCATGTCAGTGGATGTAATCTCACATTGATATCGTTATATCAACTCAAATTGAATCAATTGAATATAGGAAAAATTCACATGAATAATCCCAACTATCAAGTGTCTTCCCATATTAATCCCAAATATGCGTTATTCTAAAATAATTCAAAGTTCATATGTCATCTTCTCAAATTGATCCCAAGCTACCTGAAACCTATTGAACCGGTAAAAACTAAAAAAAAAAAAGCAAAAACAAGGAAGAGGTGGACACTGAAACAAGAGGTCGTTCATATACTTGTTTGGGGACAATTGGCCGGCCGGCCGGCGAATGGAGGAGCAGATGGCACGGTCGGCAAGGAGGAACAGACCTCCAATATCTTCTCTCTGGCTCCTTACTCGATCTATTCAAATTGAGGTCCTGGACATTTTGATTTCCTCTTCACTCAACCGGGAATCTCCCATCGCTGCTGGAGTCGTGGAGACAAAGTTAGTGACAACAACAATCTAGGGACGATGAAGCATATTCAGCTATCTCCCTTCCACATACGACTTTGGTTTTTTCTCTTCTCAGCTATGTATGGAAAAACTTCAGCCATCACCCCTCCACGACGTCCATGTATCTCTTCTCAGTCTCATCTGGTTGTTCTCCCCTCTTAATTTGAAAGAAAAAGAATTTGACGGGGTGGAGATGAGAGAGTTGTGGCGTCTAGCAGCCGATTCCATTTCATTGGTGTTTGGGCTTAAAGCAGTAACCCGCCGGGAAGGGAAGGCAGGGAGGAACACTAGAGCAACCATGGAAAAATCAAAAGAAAAAGGAGAATTAGAGACAAAGAAGTAGAAAGAAGGGAGAATGGGATAAAAGAGGGCAGGAAGAAAAACAACGAATGAAAAGAAGGATACTACGCAGGGAGAAAACTCGAAGGATGGAGCAGTACAAAAAAAAAAGAGAAAACATAAGAAGAAATAAAAGGAAGAACAAAAAAAGACCAATCCAAACAAGCCACGTGTGTAGTGACCTACTAAATTGGTTTCTGTAGGTCATCGGATTATTTAGAGAAGACGACCCTCTTACTTTGAATTATTTTTGAATAACGCATATTTGAGATTAATATGGGAAGACACTTGATAGTTGAGATTATTCAACCAGGTAGTATGCCTTCAGTTGAGTAATTATTTTATTAAGGCTACTAAATAGTTACTACTCAATGGTTAATTATAATCATTTATACTCCGACTTGTATTAGAAAGGCCCAACAAATTTTATTCAACAGGGCCCCTATTTACATAGGACCGGCCTTGCTGTTGGTATATGCGAGGAAATGCTAAAAAAGCATTATTTACTAAAGAATTGGAAGTTTCTATTGTAATGCATGACTATGATTCACTACAAGCACTTTTTTTGTCTAGGACTGCTAATTAGATAGACCAGATGGAAAACAAAAAAAAAACAAAACAAACTTTGAATCAAGACATTGATAGACTAGATTTTTTAGGAGGCACTTGGACATTTGCTAAATAAACAAAATGTGAAGCATTCCATAAAATATCTCAAAAAAAATGAATACTTCTGATCGTTTTACATCCATATGTATGTTATTTTTCTTTTTAATCCCTTACTTCATCACAACAATTTTCATTTACCTATAAAAATCTCCATATAACCGCATCATTATGTGTTATTTTTTGTTATGTCGTTCAAGAAGTGCATTATTTTTTGAGTGATGTTAAAACCTATTTCAAAACGTGAATGATAAATTTCATACTCCGTATTGTTTTATCTCAAATGTAGGTCTTGAAAAAGTTAAAAAATTATTAAAATAATGAGTAATATATTTAGTAGAGTTATGCAACCACATTAGTTTTTCTCAATGTATATAATCTCATACATTGTGCCAATATAAAGAAAATACTCCCTATTTTGTAGAAATCTAAAATATATTGTGCCAATATTTGTAATGTTTAATAAACATGTATTGAGTCCCATTCTTGTCCAGCCGGCCTGGCGGGAACCGCTGTCCGGCCGAGGGCATTTCGGACACTTCCCGGTCGAATTTTTTGATGAAAATTTTTAATCATGTTCTTCATCAAGTCTAGTTTATCCATACCAAATTTCAGCTCAAAATTCGATCGGGAAGGCATTCAAATAATATTTTGAAGTTGACTGCGTCAAAATATACATATAAACACGCAGTCAACTTCAAAAAATGATTTGAATGTCTTCCGGATCGAATTTTGAGCTGAAATTTGGTATGGATAAACTAGACTTGATGAAGAACATGCCCGAAATGTCCTCGGCCGGACGGCGGTTCCCGTCAGGCCGGCTGGACATAAGTTTTCTCAACATGTATTTAAGCTTGATTTATTTCTATGATATGATAAGTCGAATCTGTTTGGATAAAGCAGCCGTCCGTAAGAGCATCTGACGTTCCTCTCGGCCCTTCTTCAGATGAAAAGAGCCGAAAAGTCAAAAAAAAACCATCAACTACCTGCAAATCCCTGCAATCAGTCTCCAATCGCCGGTTTCTCTCATAAAATTTTGGGGCCTGCCTATAGCTGCCCTGCCCGAATTGGGTCCGACGCGTTTCAGCGACCCGATTATTTCCAGGTATGGCTTCTTTGTGCATTGTGTTAGCCCACACGAAGTAAAAATTGCTTGTAGTTCAGACTCAAACTGAGAGAATTATTCCCTCTCAATTAGCTTTACCTCATTAATTTTACAAATCTTTAATCAAGATAAAACCATCACCGTAGATTTTCGTAAGTTTTCCAGCAATCAAACTAGTAATGGTACTTCAACATTGTTTATGTTTTAAAGATTTTTCACCTCTGCAATCAAATTATCAAGTTCTATAGCGATAAGATGGATGTTTTGAACATACCTTAAATAGATGCTAAATGATACCCACAGGTCCTTAGCCTGCTCCTGCTGTATTTAAACTTTAACTTTGTATATAATTGTTTTTAGTGACTAGTTCTTGTGACGAGTTTTTTGGTTTTTGCTATTCAGGGTATGATATATTTTACGGAGTAATAGTTATTTTGAATGAAAAGTTCATTAAAGATTGTAATAAACTGATACGGATTCTTGAATGAGCACGTAAGGATCTCTTTGGTGTGAGAAATAGCTGAAGTTAATTTAACATATGAATATATGATAGCTCATCTTATCTGTGTAATTATCTTTATCTTCTTGTATGTACTTTGTATTAGAATTATTCTAGGGGTACACTTTGTTATACATCCTGACATGTCATATGCTGATTGCATAATGAAGAGTAAAACAACATTTTACCACCCAATCAACATGTGCCACTTAGTAATAAGCTAATAAATGTAGGAAGAAATGTACATGTATGATGTATCCTTACTCAACATTAATCACTTCATTTCCCTTCTTATTCATCTCTTTGCTCATTCAGACAAAACTGCTTTGGCTTACAGACTTGCACATGTCTCGTAAACGCAATGCTGTTGTTGCTATTGGTTTAGTAGCCTTTGCCTCTGCCGGCTTGGCATTCCCATTTTACATGGCGTGAGCAAACCTTGGTTTGAATTCTTGTTAGTTTTGCAAACTATCATTTGTTATCTCCCCTTAGAATTAATGCAAATGATATCTAATCTAGGTCACGTTCATCAAGGGCAACACCTGTGATTGATTCATCAAAAGCGCTACCACCCCAGGCCACTTTTCGGGGACCTTATATCAATACTGGTTCACGTGATATTGGACCTGATCATCAAACTTACTCTAAGAAATAATTCAGTCTCATATAAAGTCCCTTTCTTGATTCTTTATTTTATTCACATTGTATGACATGCAGATTAGTTCTCCCCTATGCCACATTGTAAGTCATGATTCTTGTTTTGTATGCATGTTTTCTTCTATCTTGACATGTCTCATGTTTGTCTCCTTTTGTATACTCCATTGTATTGGATAAATGGTATTCACACACAAGGCTTATGCAAATAAATTTACAGGCAACTTTTTTCTTTTAATGTCTCACTAGCCCCAATTAAGTAATTTGTCAATTTTTCAAGTCTTACCATGAGGTGATCACATATTCACTTGCAAGGTTAAAAACATGTTAAGAGTGAAAATTTTGTTGCATGTATCATGATATTCATTCTGTTGCTCAATATAGATCTAAGCGGTGCTGTGTTGAAAAGTATAGACATGGTAGTTGCATTTTGGTGGTAACTTTGATAAAGGGTCAAATAGGCCCTTGAACTGACTTAAAGTGTTCAATTAGCCCCTTATATAGGAGGTTCCGGCCGGCCGTTGCCAATTGGGGCAGTTCACGGTGGAATGTTTTGATGAAATTTTTTGAGCATCTTCTTCATTAAGTCTAGTTTACTCATACCAAATTTCAGCTAAAAATTCAGCCGGGAAGGCAGTCAAATGGTTTTTTGAAGATAACTGTGAAGTTAAACAGCGCAGTACATTTCGGAAAATCATTTGACTGCCTTCCCGGTTGAATTTTTAGCTGAAATTTGGTATGGGTAAACTAGACTTAATGAAGAAGATGCTTAAAAAATTTCATCAAAAAATTCCACCGGGAACCGTCCCAATTAGCGACGGTTGGGCAGAACCTCCTATATAAGGGGCTAATTGAACACTTTAAGTCAGTTCAAGGGCCTATTTGACCCTTTAGCCTAAAATAATTATTTGGTCCTCATATGTCTGGATGGGAAGAGCTAGAACCAAGATGGCCTGAAAGCATAGCAAGTAACTTCAATTATCCATCTTAAATTCTTAATATTATTACAATTAAGAATGTGTCAAATGTATGGAATCTAAGGAAATCATAATTTAGAAAAATCACTCATTGCCCCAACTATGAACACAAATTTGCACTCTCATATGTACTCGGCAACTTCTCATTCTGAAATAGAAATATTGTCTAGAGTTTCACATTCTTGTACAGAACTTTAACTCTTTAAGCCAAAACGCCCTTTGGTTCAACACTTCTTTACCCTTCCACCACCATTTCCATTCTATGTTTTTGTTTTCTACTTTGGAAAACACATATATCAACCGATGTTTGCATTGTTATTTACTCTAACAATCTTATTAGAGAGTAGTGGTAATGTTGGGTGTTGAAGAATCGGTGCAAGTTCAACGGCAGAAGTCCAAACTAAAAGTCCAATATCCCAACGTCAATCACTACTTCACTACGAAAAGTACGAATCCTAAATCATATATTTCTCTGGTTTCATTAGCCGGAAAATAAACGGGTAATTTATCAGGTTTGAGTTATACGCAGTATACGTTAAGTTGAATCAGGGGTGGCTCGTGGCTGGCTCTAGGGTGCAAGAGGGACAATTGTGTGTGCCCTAACTCCTTAGCCTGAAAATTTTGAATTTTTTTGACTCAATAATTTTTACTTGTACATATGCTTTGAGTAGGCTTCTTTTCTTCAATCCTAGATCCAATACTTTATACTTATTTTTTATATCTTAATCTAAGACTTATTTAAACAAATTCCTAACAATGTAATGCGTTGAACCGCCACAATCATAAAGTATCAACCCTTTAAATTTAAATGGTGTGTAATGTGCCGGTTGCTACCTTCTCCTAGGAGTGTGCTCCTTTTAAATTTTGATCACAACTTTATCTACTTTCTCCAAGACCCCCACAGGGCCCACACATCTCATGCCTTTGTTAAATGTAACATCGGGGAAAAAAGACTTTCCTAGCGAATAGTAGGCGTGGACTGGGCCTGGGTCGGGCTCTGGGTCGGGCTGAGGCGGGCTCCAGGTCCAAATTATTCAAGCCCAGTCCCGGCCCGGTCGGGTTGACAAATATTTTTTTTTGGTCTTTTCGAATTAATTCTAATGGGAAAAGATAAAAAATAATAATTGGGCCCGGGTGGTCCTCCATTTTCAGATCCTGGAGCCCGCCCTTTCATTCGACCAGTTTAGGCCTCAATCCTAGGCCCGATTCACCGGGACGAGTCGGGCAACAACAGTGTCGGGTCGGTCTGAGTCTCGGGTCGGGCCGACCCGACCCAGTCAACCCCTAGCAAATAGTAATTGAGTTTCTAATAATAACTTTCCTCCTCCAATCTCCACTATTAAAAAAACCAAAAATTAGATTTGAAAGTAATAAGTACATACTTCGTATTTGTTAAATTTTCATTTGTTTTTGCACCTGAATCAAATTTCATTGCAGTTAGAATTGTAAACGTGAAAGCACCAGTGCTACAAGTTGGCAATGTTAATCTTTTTTTTTAGATTAAATGACTTATATTAAGGTCACAGAATCCAAACAAACAATAACAAGATCGGACACATTAGAAAAACTAAGCAAGAAAAACCAGAAAACATTACTCATTCAAGAGCAATAAGATTCACTAATTTCCACTTGGACACCTGTAAGCCAATCATGATTGATGATGTTTTCTCGTTACTTATCCTATGTTGTACTTGTCACGTGCCAAAAGTAAAAATCAAACAAGAGTCACTCCAGGAAAACACAACCCGGTAAAAACATAATCTAAACGAATTAAAGGAAAAGTCAAAAACAAAAACAGAGTACTTTAACAAAAACACTTGCAAAGGAGACCCAGACGGTGCAGAAGGGAGCGAACCTTTGATCTGTCTTCTCCCTTGATCAATCCTTCACCGCTCCTCATCTGCTCATTGCTCGTGTCGCCTCCACAATTGTCCGTTATTTTTAGCAACATTCATCGTCTCCTGTATGCTCTGGCTGGCACTTTGACGCACACCAAATCCCCAAGGAACATGCCTCCTACCCCGGTCAAGAGAAATGAAAAACGGCACTCAACAGTTTTAGTCTCCTGCCCGCCACATGCTCTACCTAAACCCTATAGCCGGAGCTTCGACGATGCCCCTTCAAAGGGCGTCAGAAAATCTGCCCAACCAGATCGCATGCTTGCCCGACGGAGGTACGAAACCCTACGCTTAGAGCGAGGGAAGAAAAGGATGTTCCCCGAGAGGGATTTGTGGACTCAATAAGGACTTAAAATGTTTTTAATTGGGATGATTTCAGTCCTAGTCCAAACCAGATTTATCACGGGTTGGTATGATCAGCCACGCCATGCTGTTTTTTAATTAGCTCTCGACTTTGTAGGTCTAAATTTCTCCCAGCTTTTAGAACTCATATTCCAGAATGTCTTTATATAATGTGTTCATGGACGACACAAGATTAAGGCCAAGTAGTAGAATTTGGGTATGATTTTACATCACATATTGTGACAATTAGATGAAGGATGAGCAAAGATGGAAGTGTGATCTTTGTATTTTATACAAAGTAGGCGTTTGTATAATCCTCCTACTTTGTGTAATTCCCTTTATTTAATAAATAGGTGAGGTGTTACCCGGCCCTCACCCCAAAACCTCGGTTTTGGTCACTCACCGGTTAAAAAAAAAAGATGGAAGTGTGATCTTAAATAGTTAAATCGTAATGTAATATTGTAATGTTCAAACTTCTTCTCAAATGGTGTCAAATGGAACATAATTGGAAACATTAAAACCCATTTATTTAAAATTCGTTATCCCACCCAATGAGCTATTGAGCCACAATATTTTAATATTTCTATTGATGCATTTTTCATTTAAACCAAAATATATATATTAATAAATTTTATTTTTTTCTACTTGTGACTTGTTCAAGCATGTCGTCAGCATGACCATTTTTAGGGGGGTTCAATAGGTTATCCAGAACAGGGCCCCCAGATTTAAGGGCCCCCATATTTTTAAAAATTTATTAGTATTATATAGTTATATTATATATTAATACTAATCAATAAAATACACTTAACTAGTGAAAAAGAGAAATATAGATACATCATTTTTTCATTGGTCCTTTTACTCTTTTACGAGTAGTTCTTTTTAATGACTATTCCATTGATTTGAGTATAACTATTTGGATTGAGATTTTTTTTATTTTTTTTACGTAGTATATTAAAATGGAGCTCCGGTTTTAGATTTTGAACAGAGGCATCCAAATTCATTAGACAACCCTGGTCGTCAGATGCTCTACTACTCTACTATGATTTACTCCATCAGTTCAAATCTACTACTATTTGCATACATTTTCTAGTTCAGTTTATATATATTTTTTAAAAAGTGTCCCAAAATCAGAGTGATTGCAAAAAAAAATGTGTCCCAAATCAAATTAGGCACTGGAGTGAGGTATAAGTGCAGTTTTTAGTTTTTACTCAAAAAAGAAGAAAATGGATAAGATGTCCCGTAGCCTTTGGATGCAAAGTGCAAACCTTTCATCATCGGAGAGAGGCCCTTTTGTTCGAAGGCACTGCTGCTTTCTATACTTCGAGTAACACTAATGGCATCCACGGGAACGGCTCTATCACTGAGCTCGTCTTCATTCCTTAGCAATTGCAGTGTAGGCAACAACACGCCGTTTGGAACCGCAAAGCTTTCACCAAAGCCCTCAAATTTCACCATTTTCTCTCAAAAGAAAGTAAAAAAAGTGAGAAAGGTAAGGCATATGTTTCTTTCTATGCATTTAGGTTGTCGGGCTTTCCATGTTTTCTTTTTCAAATTCCGCAATTTCTATATATCTGAACAGCATGGGCTTTTGTGTTGTCTGGAATTAAAATTCTTTGGTGGTACAGATAATACTGAAAGAGGATGTGCAAGACTTGGGGGAGAAGGGACAGCTCTTGAAAGTGAGAGCAGGTTACTATAGGAATTACCTGCACCCAAAGAGCATGGCTCAAATTGTCACCCCTGAACTTCTTAAGTAAGGTTTCTGGATGTTTTAGGGTCTGTTTGCAACAAGGGGTTGGAAGTCTTAGTCTTTATCCTTGTAAATGCTCTGTAGGATGTTTCTTTCTTGTAATTGTTGACGATATAACCTTTATAGTCTATCATAATTTCTTACACTATTTGAGTATGGACTGAAAACTAACATTTGCATTTGGAATAAAATTGATTCCTTGGATTCTCCAATACAATTTAACTATAAAGATTGCACTTTTCATCAAATACATTATAAGTTGGGACATATATTATAT